AACCATATTCCAGAACATTCTTCACTATGGTGAGGAATCTATACCTGTCCTGAAAAGGAAATAAGACAAATTTTTAAGATTCTCCTGCCTGTGGGCCATTTAGGAAAATATACGGGGGACATAAAATGAGGAAGGTCGCATTAGAAAGTAGCATGCATAAACAAAGAAGCTGCCAGCATTTGCAAACCCTTAGACCGAGACACTTCACTGGTTCTCCTTTGGGGACCCCCTCCCCACGTGGGAGTCCGTATACACTTGCAATACATTCCCACGCTTTTGCATAAAATCTTTCGATCCACGAATTTTTATTCTTCAGACTTTGTAGGACAAGAACTTGTAAACCTCAGCTTGCCATTTGGGGCATCACAATTATACCCGCAACAAAAGCGACTTCCTTCGAGAACTGAAATGCTGACCGTTCACCCCTGTTTTTGTAGGTGGGGAAGTAGGGAAGCTACTATCGTCATTTGTTTTATTCACATCTATCATCCTGGGCCAAATGACAACCTATACACAACAGGGGACAACACTCAGCTGCTGAAGCTGGCACTGTTACAGAGCATTGTTGGGAAGCAGAACTGACGTTAAGCCAAAACGTCCTGAAATCTCGGTCCCTTAGGGAGCCAGGGTGGTCACAGGACGGACTGGCTATGAATCCTTCTCCCTGGGAAGGGAGATCCTAGGTGAGACACAGTAAGGAGCCCCAGACACACCTGCCCCTGCCAGCCCGCATGGTAAGCATTGGCGGCCAGTGGTCGGTCACCTCCAACCCAAGCCACACACGGCGCCAGGCAACCTGGGGACAGAGGAGGAGAGCAGTGGCCTCAAAGAAGCCTCCGATATTTGATGAAACTGTTCAAAGAATTTCCCCCCACTTCTGTTAGTCTCTATTTTCGACCAATACCTACGTCTTTGTAGAAATAGGTACTATTTTTGTTGGCTTGGCGCTTCTGAATCTTTTAAACCGATGGTCCCTCTCAGACAGATATTAACATGCACCACCCTTAGAACATCAAAATAAGTGAGACATTGTATAGTTATCTCTATATTCATATAATGTGCGACTACAAATGCTCCTAAATATAAAATCTATTATTTTACTTATAGATCCTATGGTGTCTAGAAGAATGAGATTATAAAATATTAGCTCAATCTATACTAGTGTCTGAGAAAGGTGTGTGTGTGTGTGTGTGTGTGTGTGTGTGAGAGAGAGAGAGAGAGAAAGAGAGAGAGAGAGACTACAGAAATGTCATCAGTGAGGCAAATTTGAGGCTTTAGGCGCTGAGCTTGGGAAAGTTTTAGTTATTAAAAGTAAGAGGAAAAGCTGAAATGACTGGATCTTATTTAATACTGCGTTTTCCTGCAAGACCTAAAGAACACCCAGAAAGAGGAAAGCTGGAGAGGGCTGGCTATTGTGAGGAAAGAATCAGGAGTGGCTGGGAGACCACAAACCTGCCCTTCTCCGAAAGGCCTTGAAAGGCCTGCAGAGGAGCATCCAAGATCAGGCCAAGGCGATAACATTTCAAAAGACCAAAGTTTACCTTGAAACAATGACTCTCAAAGACCCAGTACTGAGAGGGACAGGAAAGCGTTGGCGATGGCCTTCCAGGCCATTAAACCGAATACACTGTGTGATTTCCCAAGCAATGTAATGGCTAAGTCACACACTGGTTCCATAACAGTGGAGACATTTTTTTTTTCTGAAGTCCTTGATGAAGCAAAGGAAAAACAAGAGCGTGTCTCTTTAATTAATATAAACATAAGCATCATCCAAACAGGAACACCTTGAGAGTAAAAGGGGGCAGGATTAATGATGACTGAGGGCCGGAAGCTGGGCCATCCCACCAAGCACCATGAAAACCAAATAATGAGCATCTCAATTGAGAAGGCCATACAGGCGGCACAGTCTGGGAGGGTCTCTGGCAGTTTGGGGGCCCAAAAGAACAATCTGGGAAAAATTCAAGTGTGAAAAGGAAGCCCAGGGGTGGGATGGATTGGAAAATAAGGGAGAGTTTTAGAGCCGGAAATCATAACATGGCACACCAGGTCCTCCCAGGGTGGGTTCGACTGTCTCTCCAGTTCACGTGATATCATTCCTACCTTTGAAATCTACCTTCTGACCGTGGGGGGCGTCGGCTTGTTGCCTGCGGCCCGTCGGGGTCCTCTCTCTGATGTTCATGCAAACGGTTTCCTCTGCCCAGAACACCTCAGCCTCCTAGGTTTTGTCTGCCTCACTCCTCCCTCCCCTCCTCCCCCCCCACCTTCTCCAGAAAACCCTGAGCTTGCTTCTTTATCAGACTCCTATGTCACCAACCCTTCTCTCAAGGTCCTTCCCATTTATATTACTTGTTTAATACCTGGCTCTGCCCGATTCAATGCTCTTCCCTCAATTAGGCCTGGTATACAGTCTGTTCTCAACAAACACAGGGGTGGGCAAAGTAGGTTTACAGCTGTTCATGTGGAAAACAATGCGATAATTCATAATAATACAGGAATAAATTCTGTTTTGCATATTCACAGCTGTCAGCCTACATTTGCCCACCCCTGAACTTACTGGACTGGTTGCATTGCACGGGAAAACAGCTAAGTTTCCAAGAAAAACGCCAGGTCACGACGGGCTAGGTAAAAGCCAGAGGAGAAAAATAAAAATAAATGATAAGAACGAGGCCCCTCGCTGAGTATTTTTCCGAAGGGGACTTCCGTTTCAGGCAGAGCTGCTGCGAGGAACCCGGAGCCATCAGCGGCCAGAAGAGGCCGGAGACCCTGTGGAGATCCGACTTGAGGTGACTCTGGCCTCTGGTGGGAAAACTGGGAACACAGCAGCTCCCAGGAAAAGGAGAAGCGGTCATGGCACTAGCAATGATGAAAAACCCCAAGTTTCTTTTGTTTTTCACTTTTCTCCCGTGAGGGCTATGAGCCCACTGTCCAATTTCTACTCCAATGACACGTCAGCATTTGGGACTCTGGGTCTAGAACACTCGCTCATTCACATCCGCTTTCCCCGATAGCCAGAGAGGGAGCTGACAGGACACCGAGCCCTGCTAGGAGCGGATTTTACTGCCGTGACTCCTGTCCCCCTGAGGAGCCTTCCCCAGCCTCTCGGTGTTTTCCTGGTGGAAGGGAAGACCCCCAGGCACTCCGGAGACAGGGGTGCACTTTAAACCACTGGCTCCTCGGAGGGTACCTGCTGTCTGTGACCGGAGAGAGACGCTGGGACGGAAGGAGGGATGAATTAGAGTGAGGAAAGGGTGTACAGTTGAGGTGCCAAGATATGAACCATTTTTACCTTATAAACAAATCAGATGACACCGTGTAATATTGTTTGCTTTTCTGCTGCCGTCCGCACACGCCCCAATGTCAGGAGATCCTGGAATGTGCAGGGTGTGTACCTGCAGTTCTGGGGGTAGGGGGTGGGGATGGGGGAGACGTCTCTAGCTGCTCTCGCTTCACTTATCAGTTTGTCATCATTTTTAATCCCTAGGCTTTCAGGACATGCCGGCACACTCACCTTATTCCTGTCCTTAGCCTATCCCTACATATCCTTTACTCTGTCTGCATGCAGGCTGCTGCTAGCTCAGGAGAGGAAATCTCTGAAACCCAAATCACTGCCTCCATAGAAAGATCTCTGAGAGGGAAGGGGGTGTGCCCAGAGGAGTGGGGGGGGGGGGGGGCTTCTATATGCCTGCGAGCAGCAGCGCTCTCTCCCTGAGTGTGTTCTAGGAGCCAGACTGACGGGGAAGGAGTCTGACTCCGATGATCTGACACACACAAACGTAAACGTACAAACAAACCCATGTTCCCAAGCAGAACAAATGGTTCTTGGACCTCGGCCCGTCGTTTTGTGCAGCAGTGAGAACCACACCGCCACGCATCACGTAACATAGCTGTTCTCAGACCACCCTTGTGAAAAGGGGGTCACTCCGAGCACTTGACGAAAAGCTCTGTTTCCCCAAACACCTGGGCCCCAGGCACATGTATGTAACAGATGGCGGCCACGCTCATTTCAATTAACTGGAAGTGCACCAGCTGGCACCAACATGAGCCTGCCCGAGAGAAGCAATAATGCATACATTTATTTAATAAGCTTATTGCCTCATGCACCGTCACTCGCTTTCATCTTCTCTTTCATGTTGGCCAGCACGCAATGCCAGGAACTCTATCTTGCTGCCAACTTCTGCTGAGAATGGAAACCTTCTTATAAAAGGGAGATGGATGGCCCTGTGGAACCAGCAACAAGTGGACAATGCCCTCCCCAGTAATCTTTAAGAAGCAAGAGTTTAAGCCCAGCCCGTGGGGCTTGGCCTTGATCTAGGAACCAGTAGGGCATGCTGGGATTCCTGGTCAGGGCATCTGCTTGGGCTGTGGGCTCCATCCCCGGTAGGGAGTGTGCAGGAGGCAGCAGATGGATGGTTCTTTCTCATCACTGATGTTTCTACTCTCACTCCCTATCCCTTCCTCTCTGAAATCAATCTTATCTAATAGAAGAGTAATATGCAGATTGACCATCACTCTAGTACACAAAATGGCCACCCCAAGATGGCCAGCAGGGGAGGGCAGTTGGGATGGACCAGGCCTGCAAGGGAGGGCAGTTGGGTGTGACCAGGCCTGCAGGGGAGGGCAGTTAGGGGCAAACAGGCTGGAGGGAAGTAGTTAGGCATCAGTCAGGCTAGCAGAGGAGTAGTTAGGGGGTGATCAGCCTGGCAGGCAGGTGAGTGGTTGGACTCCAGCAGTCCTGGATTGTGAGAGGGATGTCCGACTGCACACTTAGACTCGATCCCACCAAGATCGGACCTAAATGGGCAGTTGAACATCCCTCCAGGGGTTCCAAATTGGAGAGGGTGCAGGCTGGGCTGAGGGACACACATCCCCGTGCACGCATCTCATGCACCGGGTCCTCTAGTAAAAATATAATAAGAAAAAAATAAGAAGCAGCCGCCAGAGTTTGGCACCAGTGACCTCCCGGCCCCCACCGTGGCCCCGGCCCCTGGGGCCACACCTACCATCTCCTTGAAGGCGCTCTCCAGGGCCCCGATGACCAGGCACTCGTGGGGGATCTTCTTCTCAGTGAAGAAGCGCGTGGGCGGGGTGCCGGGGGAGCCGGGCGCGCCCACGCCCCCGCGGAGCGAGGCGGCGCGGGTGAGCGCGCGGCCGGGGGGCGCGCCGTCGGGCTCGTCGCCCAGGCAGGCGGGCGGCAGCACGGCCGCGTTGCGCAGGATCTCCACCAGCTCCCGCAGCTGCTCCGCCACGTGCTGCTGCAGCAGGCGGGACGCCACCACCGCCGCGCCCGAGCCCGCGTGCCCGTCGAACAGCGACCAGTAGTGGCAGCACATGCCCTCCGACTCCTGCGGGAGGAACAGGACAGGGAGCGTGAGCACAGCGAGGCCCCTGTCCCGCCCGGGACACCCACACCCCCACCCCATGGCCGGGCCCACCGGTTCAGTGCATCTTCCTGGAGGGCTGGGGTCTGCACCCCTGGGGGCAAAGCGTGGCAGAGATGCCCAGGGAAGGACCCCCGGCTGGTCACTGCTGGCTCCCCCACCCCGGGGAGGAAGCTCCCTGCCTCTCCAGCAGGCGGGAGGGACCCCAACTGATCACAAGCCCATTTGGGTGCCTGGGGCCGAGACTGTCTTAAGGTAAGATGACAGATCGTCCCGCTTTTGGCGGGACAGTCCCGATTCCTAACAATTTTTCCCGCGTCCCACTGTGTTTTAAAAAAGTCCAGATTTTTGGAAAGAACTAAAACCAATCTTCCAAAAATCGGGACTTTTTTTTTTTAAAAAAAACGCCGCGGGACGCGGGACAAATTGTTAGAAATCAGGACTGTCCCGCCAAAAGCGGGACATCTGTTCACCTTAGCTTAAGGCGATGTATAGATGTTTGGGGTGAAATCCCACACAGACAGATGCGTGTTTAGAAGCCCAGCTTGAACCTCCAATCGGCCCTTTTTGGCAGGTTCTTCAAGGGGAAATTCAGGCACTCATTTCCCCTCCGTAGGCCTTTATATTCTGAGAACTGCTCCCTCCTCTTTGGTCTGCATTCTGGATTTTTGGAACAAAGTCTTCCCTTAGAGGCCCAGTCTGATCCAGACTTCACAATTCACTCCCCCTGCCTCCAACCTCCCCCAGCCTTCCAGCGGTCACTCAGCGTGTTCCATTTTCTGGCCCCAATGCTGCTCATACAGTTCTGAGCAGCCCACAGTCCCACACCTTCCATGGATTGACTACCTGTCAGGTGATTTCTAGACAATTTTCAAAAGGACCAGTTTTAAAAAAGCATGTTTGAATCACACATGCCTAAGATCTTAGCTGGGGGGGGGGGGGAGAGAGGGGAGGATGGGAAGAGCTCAATTAAGATCTATTAAATACTGAGATAACACAGGTACGGTGCATATGACATCCACTTCTGACTGCTGGGCTTATTATTCTGCAACAGTAAATACATGGTTCTTTTTTAGCTGAAGTCATTAACTAAAACTTTCTTTTGGGCCATATTTTTTTAATTGAAATATATTTTGACATACACTAGTGTATAAATGTAAGGTGTACAATATGTTGACTTAATGCATTTATATACTGTACTATGATTACCATTATAGCAATAGTTAGTATGCCATGTAATTCTTTTTTGGGTGGTTAGAATAATTAAGTATCAGCTCTTGCAAGTGTAATTATTACAATACAATATTGCTTCTATATTCACTATATTATCTATTATAGCTCATTGCAAGTCTGTCCCCTTAAACAGCATCTCTCCTACCATTGTCGGTCTACCTTAAGGGGACCTATGCCATTACTCTATCTGTAGCCTTTAAAACTTTTCAACTCGATTTTGTGCTAGGTGCTAAGAGATAAACTGGTGGGGTTTTGTTTGTTTTTAGTCACAAATATTTACTGAGCATTCTCTGTAAAAAGGAAGCAGTGGGGATAAAGGACTGGATAAAAGACATATCAGACATGTTCTAAACCTAATCCAGCAGGAAAGAGAGACACCGATCAAATAATCACACAAGTAAACACAAGACTGTAATTCTGGGGAGGGCCACAGGAAGGGTCCTCGGTGCTGTGAGGCCAGCCTGCAGAGGGGCCTGGCGAGGCAGCTTCCTGTGACAGGAGGACCAGGCTGAGGGCTGCTTGGAAGGAAACAAAATAAAGAAAGAAGGGGAGAGGATGCCAGGCAGCAGCATGAGCGGGAGCACAGGTCCTGTGGTAGGAAGGTGCCTAAAGAGCAAACAGAGCCCTAATCGGTTTGGCTCAGTGGATAGAGCGTCAGTCTGCAGATGGAAGGGTCCCAGGTTCGATTCCAGACAAGGGCAAGCACATTGGTTGCAGGGCACATCCCCAGTAGGGGTTGTACAGGAGACAGCTGATCGATGTTTCTCTCTCATCCATGTTTCTGACTTTCTATCCTTCTCCCTTCCTCTCTGTAAAAAATCAATTAGACATGAGAGAGAGAGAGAGAGAGAGAGATAGAGAGAGAGAGAGAGAGCAAGCAGAGACTGAACCATGGCCATGTGGCTGAACAAGGCAGCGAGGCAGGAAAGGAGGGGGTGAGGTCAGACTTGAGAGGGAGGGAGAAGCTAGACCCCTCAGTCCTGCCAGGACACATGAAGGTTTTGCCTTTAGCCTAAGAGTAACAACAGCCATTGGTTGAGATGGGAATGGCAAAGCTGATTTATGCTTTTTTTTTTTTTTAAATTTTTATTTTTAAAGTATTTTTTTAAAATATGTTTTATTGATTTTTTACAGAAAGGAAGAGAGAGGGATAGAGAGTTAGAAACATCAATGAGAGAGAATCATCGACCAGCTGCCTCTTGCACACCCCCTACTGGGGATGTGCCTGCAACCAATGTACATGCCCTTGACGAGAATCGAACCTGGGACCTTTCAGTCAGCAGGCTGACTTTCTATCCACCAAGTCATTATGTTTTTAAAAGATCACTCAAATGATGCCAGGAGAGGAGAGTGAAAGTAAGGATGCCCTCCTAAAAAGACAGTTAACCTAATCCAGGCAGTGAGAAACACATAGGAACAACTAAAGTAACATAAAGCAGAGGAGTCAGCCCTGTCACTCAGGGAAACATTAAGCGGAAAGAGCAATGACGTCAGCATTAGAAAAAACGGGCTCTAAGGGCATCCCTGACACCAACTCCCTCCGTGGGAGGCAGAGCGGCCACCTGCCCCGCGGCTCCCTCTAGGGCTGGCCGTCCCTGTGGCTTACCAACTCTGTGCTGTTTTCCTAGTGAGTAAATGCAGGTGATAGCTGTCTTATGGGCGAGTGTGGGGGGTGGGGTGGGAGGGGATAGGAGGTATCTGGGAGGGTTAAATGGTAAATTATGTTAAAGTGACCAATTAAGCAACACAGCATACACTCTGTGTGTGTGTGGCTGCTGTCATTACATTACAGTAGGATCATGGGTGAGTCATTTTGTGGGTTTTTCAGTTCTTCAGCAAAGAGAGGGGTTACCTTAGAACTGTGGTCGGCAAACTGCGGCTCTTTGGCCCCCTGAGTGTGGCTCTTCCGCAAAATACCACGGCCTGGGCAAGTCTATTTTGAAGGAGTGGCATTACTAGAAGTTTAAGTTTAAAAAATTTGGCTTTCAAAAGAAATTTTAATCGTTGACCTGTTGATATTTGGCTCTGTTGACTAATGTGTTTGCTGACCACTGATCTAGAAATCCTGACGCTTCTACTAACTCCGAAAGTCCTGTGTTTAAGAAGTATAGATCAGTGAGGGCTGCGGGTGTGGAGAAAGAAGTTGGGCCTTGAAGCCCAAATAAGTGGACTTTGGATGACATGGGGGCCCAGGAGAGGCAAGTCCTGGGAGGCCCACTCTGGCAGATGCTTACCCGGAATCCACTCCCCCTTCTGTCACATCACTGATTCTGTTCGGGGCAGCAATATAGCCACTAAAATACTTCTCCAGACTCCCTTGCAGCTGTGTGGTCACGTTACCCTGTGCACTCCAGGGAACTGCAAAGGGCAGTAATTTCCTGGGTACAACTTTTTTTGCCTTTTACCCTTCCCGCTTTCTTCCCGCCTGGGTCACAGAAGCAACACCTGAAGGTAGAGCAATCTTCCTGCAAAAGGGGCAGAAAGCTGCAGCTCTGTGGCGGGGCAGGAGGCAGGAACCTGGCCGGGGATGCCTGGCGCCCTGGTCAGCCCGCCTCGGGGGCGTCCTGCCACGCCGGCTTCAGGACATGCCGACAGGCCTCTGTTAGGTCCTGTAGCGAGAGCTGGGGCTTGGAGAAGAGCCGACGTGCATGATTACATAGCATCCTGGGAGCTGTGGCATGAGGGGTGGAGGGAAGCTTGCAAGATGAGTAAGGCACAAGCACAGCAAGAATGAGAAGTAATCCAACAGGAAGGATAAAACAGAACTCTGGGCTTCCTTGGATGGAATTCAGAGTCCGTGAATCTCTATTTTCAAGAACTTCTGAAACTTGGCATTTCCTCCTATTATGCCTGCAAGGCAGTCCCTATGACTCGATTGCCCACAGAAATAAGGCAGTGTCATTCCACATGTCCTGTCATTCCACATGTCTTGACGGACTGTTGATGCTCACCGCTACCTGCCATGGTGGCAGCAGCTAGTACAGCACCTCTGGCTCTGGTCATTTGCCGCATTAGCAAAGTACGTGCTGCACATTACATCCTCACGACCTGGGAAAAGTGGCAAAAGGAAGGGAAATCTTGCTCAAAGCATCTAATTCCCCAGACTCAGAGTTACCCCGCACACAGTCCTCCGGTGCCCCATTTCAGGGAAAACCCAGCGACCCTGTCTGCCGTGTCTGAGGAGGCCGCAGAGGGCGCGGGGCGGAGAGGCAGCTGTCTCAGGGTCCAGGTGCAGTTACAGCACCGTCATCATGTTCCTGAAGCCTTGCTTTAAAGCAGACCAAACCCCATGCAAAAACAGGCTACGCTGCTATGGAACGTGACTGCACTTTGCAAAAGCAGCTCTGGAATTCTTCTGACAAGCATTCCAAGCATTTCCTTCAACAGGGCCGAGCGCTTTGCAGTAACCACAGCAACCAGGTGACAGCACGTCTGGGGGCTTTCGGCACAGACAACAGGACACCTGGTTGGGCGCAGACAATAGGACACCTGGTTGGGGGACTTCTGAGTGGGACACAGGGGTCAACACTGTCCTTGTGAGAACTCCCTCACAGCAGTGCTATCCTAGTCCACTCTGGTGCAGCCCATTTTTAAAATGCAATTAATAATTCGCACAGCTAAAACTTGTAATTTTTCCACAAAGAAGTTTGTCTCGTACTGCGTAACCTAACACTGGCTGATGTGGGGCCCAAGCCCAGACCAGTGCAGTATCTCTACAGGTGGGGGCCCAC